CTCTGAACAAGCTCTATTTACAGACCCGTGCTTTTACTCGTGATTTATCGCGTTCGTTATTCCATCTCCCGTGGGAATACACTCGAGGAGTACGAGTATCCTGAACAAACGCGTTCCTGTGTGGCGCGATTATTACCGAAACGGAAGTGGACTTCTCGCCGCGCGTTTCAACCCGGATATCGCCGTTTCCGCTATCTCAGCGTTTTCATTAAATAGTCGCACAACCGTAGAAACGTTATCGTTCGTTCTATCACGCGAAACACACACGTACGTACGTACGAGCCGATTAGATTTCTCTCTGTTTCAACGGATCGGCTCTGATTTTATCGGTGGAGCTTATTAGCCGCTGGTTTGAGTATAGATCATTCAACGATCAATCTTTTTCCTTTATTGCCGAAAGGAATTTTATTGGGAACGGTGTTTCGTAGAAGAGGAGAGAAAATATTGGGTCTAGCGATGAGAAGTTTATGGACAGATCGATTGATTGAATGGAAAATTTAAATTCAATGTAGGCATTTGCAATATCTGTCCGAAATCCTCCACTAGGAATAAGAAGAAATTGTTCGTTCTAAGATTTTTATTTTCTCAACACCCAAATGTATTCCTTTCTTATTGACAATAATTCGTAAAACTTTAAGCAACGATATTTTTAATTATTATTAATGCTCGTTAATTATCGAAATTGTAAAAAGTTAAATTAAATAGAGATGCTCCCAATATCTATTTAGGAACTATCTCTAAGAGAAATAAGAAATTGTTCATTTTAAAATCATTTAATTTTCTCAACATTCAAATTACCGTGTTTTTTATTGACAATAATTCTTAAACTTTCCAATATCTATTCAAAAAAACCACCTCTTGAGAAAAATAAGAAGTTGATCTCCTAACTTCCACAAGATTCAAATTAACTCCTCTTCTACTAACAATAATTTGTAAAACTCGAAACTTTTAACATCTATTCAAAAACCATCCTTTGAGAAAAATAAGAAGTTGGTCCCTCTAAAATCTCATGACTTTTTCAACACCTAAATTAACTCCTTTTCCACTGATAATAATTCCTAAAACTCGAAACTTTCAACACCTATTCAAAAACCACCCTTTGAGAAAAATAAGAAGTTGGTCTCTCTAAAATCTCCTAACTTTTTCAACATCTAAATTAACTCCATTTCCACTGATAAAATTCCTGAAACTCGAAACTTTCAACACCTATTCAAAAACTACCCCTTGAGAAAAATAAGAAGTTGGTCTTTCTAAAATCTCTTAACTTTTTCAACACCTAAATTAACTCCTTTTCTACTAATAATAATTTCTAAAACAAGAAACTTTCAACACCTATTCAAAAACCATCCCTTGAGAAAAGAAAGAAGTTGGTCTTTCTAAAATCTAACTTTTTCACCTAATTTAAACCCTTTCCCACTGATAATAATTCCTAAAACTCGAAACTTTCAACACCTATTCAAAAACCACCCTTTGAGAAAAATAAGAAGTTGGTCTCTCTAAAATCTCCTAACTTTTTCAACATCTAAATTAACTCCATTTCCACTGATAATAATTCCTAAAACTCGAAACTTTCAACACCTATTCAAAAACCACCCCTTGAGAAAAAAAAGAAGTTGGTCTTTCTAAAATCTCCTAACTTTTTCAACACCTAAATTAACTCCTTTTCCACTGATAATAATTCCTAAACCTCGAAACTTTCAACACCTATTCAAAAACCACCCCTTGAGAAAAATAAGAAGTTGGTCTTTCTAAAATCTCCTAACTTTTTCAACACCTAAATTAAATCCTTCCCCACTGATAATAATTCCTAAACCTCGAAACTTTCAACACCTATTCAAAAACTACCCCTTGAGAAGAAAAAGAAGTTGGTCTTTCTAAAATCTCTTAACTTTTTCAACACCTAAATTAACTCCTTTTCCACTGATAATAATTCCTAAACCTCGAAACTTTCAACACCTATTCAAAAACCACCCCTTGAGAAAAATAAGAAGTTGGTCTTTCTAAAATCTCCTAACTTTTTCAACACCTAAATTAAATCCTTCCCCACTGATAATAATTCCTAAACCTCGAAACTTTCAACACCTATTCAAAAACTACCCCTTGAGAAGAAAAAGAAGTTGGTCTTTCTAAAATCTCTTAACTTTTTCAACACCTAAATTAACTCCTTTTCCACTGATAATAATTCCTAAACCTCGAAACTTTCAACACCTATTCAAAAACCACCCCTTGAGAAAAATAAAAAGTTGGTCTCTCTAAGAGAGAAGTAATCTCCTAACTTTCTCAACATCTAAATTAACTTCTTTCCCACTAGACAGTGAATTCCTAAAACTCGAAACTTTAAATTTCGAACATCCCCCAAGATAATCGCTTCGTCGCGAATATCCGCTCGATTATCGCGTGGAAAATCGGATCTCGCCATTCTTCTCACCCCCCCCCCCCCTCTCCTCCCCCTCTACCGCCGATCTCACGCCGTTTCATTAACTCCGTCGACAGCGTTAACTTCTGTTTTATTGTGCGAAACTATGGCGCGGGAAGAGGGGACGGCATTTAACTTCGTGGCTTTAACTCGGCGCGAGTTTTATCCGCCACGTTCGTTGCTCCTACCGACGGAGCTACCGGAAGTGTGCGAATAAGCTCTCTGGAATTATTATCGAGCCCGAGGAGAAGGAATTCAACGGGGGGGAGAAGGGGGAGGAACGCGAAAACACGAGAGAGAAAGACAGAGAACAGACTGAGGAACGTCTCTCGCCCGAATATTTTTTTCTCTTTTTCTTCTCCTTTCGTTCGAGTCGAGCTGCAATTTCTTGAAATACCGGTACGATATTCCTTCGTGAACTCGTGCGAATAATTGAGAGAGAGAGAAAGAGAGAGAGAGAGAGAGAGACAGAGATTCTCTCCATTGACTCCATTCTCTCTCTTGTCGCAGAACAGACTCGACGACGCATTAGCTTGGTTAATGGAAAATTTTTCAAGCCCAAGAGACTCGACGTACACGCGCATCTTTTCACTTTTTGGAATTACTTCTCTTTTTTTCTTTTCTCCTATTTTTCGACGCCAAGTCTTGGCATCACGTGCGCGCAGGGATTTTCCGTTGTTTCGGAGAGATCGGAGGGGATCTCTTGCGTAATTGTTGATAGAAACGTGAGTTTCTCCCGTGACTTTTCGCTTCTTGGAAATTGTTTCCGCGCTGAGATTTAGATTAATAGTGGAAGTGCTGATGTGTAATGTTGGAGAAATTGAAGCGCAAGTCGCAGGGGGAAAGCTTGCAATACAATTTATGATCGAGCGCGACGTTGGTCGTAAGAAACGCGAGTTTTTATTTCACGTAGTAGTGTATTCATAGGTGAATGTTGTTACACAGTTAATAAAGTTTATTAAATTGCGTCACGAGCATTCAGTTTTATTAAAATTGTGAAAAAACTGAGAATGGCTAGGTCTCGTGCAAATTTTCGATATTCAAGCAAAATAATATAACAATTGGTATACAACATAATATAATAATTGTACAATTTAATGTAATAAAATTTAGAAATTAATGTACCTTTTGGTACAAAGAATAGTATGATAATGTAAATTTTGTGTAATTTAACGTAGCAAAATTTAGAGATTGATGTACGACGTATGAATATTATGTAAATTCAACATTCTTGCGATTCCAATTTTTTGCAATTGAACGACTCGAGGTAGCTACTAATTAATTTCCAGCTCCATTTGTAAATTGCGCTTCGCTCAAATGGCTAACACCCTATGGAAAAACATCCCATTAATCAGTCTCCAATTATAAATCACGACCAAGTCTCGCGGACCATTCAAGAACGCGTCCATTCCCAAATCAAATTACTCGAATCGCGAAAAGTTTCGTTCGAACTTCGTCGTTCATTTTTCGAAGCAACGACATTTACTGTCACCTGACATCTCCCCGAGCGATTTTTGTCCAATCTAAACTTAATTCAGGCTTTTATTCATTGTCCGTACGACATCGAGCGGAGAATTTGGAATTAAATTGCTTAATTGTGATAGTTTTTTTAGTTAACCCTCCTCCCTCCAATTTGTATTTCTCTAACGTTGAAAAGCATCTCGAGTTTGAACAAAATCTAAAAATATTTCATTTATTAGTTTTAATTCGTATTCCTGGTTTATATATACCTAGAGGTTAGGTTTATATATTCCTTTATTTGGCAAAAAATTAAATTTATTAGTTTAAAATTCTCAATTATTATTATAAGTAAACTTAAAAATATTAGAACTTCAAATGAAATTGTATTATTCCTAATATCGAATGATTATTTATTGAAATTCATCTAGTAATTAAAATTGGATAAACATTTAATCTTATAATAAATAATATAAAAATTATTCTCTGCATTATTTATTTTTTATAAGCACTCTAGACTTTTTACGAGCTTGCACAGCGTTTTTTTTTTTTTCGAAAATAATGCAGAGAATAATTTTTATATTATTTATTATAAGATTAAATGTTTATACAATTTTAATTACTAGATGAATTTCAATAAATAATCATTCGATATTAGGAATAATACAATTTCATTTGAAGTTCTAATATTTTTAAGTTTATTTATAATAATAATAATAATTGAGAATTTTAAACTAATAAATTTAATTTCTTGTCAAATAAAGGAACATATAAACCTAACCTCTAGGTGTATATAAACCAGGAATACGAGTTAAAACATTCGACAATAATAATAAATCACAAAGGAAATTCATTCGGAAACAATTCTTCGATGACGAAATAATTTTCTGGTCGTTGGGATTGTTCAGTTTTGCTAAAATCCCTGCAATTGCCAAATTTAGTTTACTTTGAGGAGCCTTTGGTTTCAAACTTTGTTGAAGTTGGTTGTGTCTCTTAGAATAAACACGTACGTCCATCTGTCAGTGAGAAACGCAATTACCTGTTGACCGAACCGAACCTTGTTGTTCAAACGGCGAACAGAAAAATTCCACGACAACGAGAACGACTAGAAATTTATTGGAGTTACCTCTACGATGCTGATGCAGATCATGAGATAAGGCGGTCGTATCCGGAAGTTGGGCTTCCGGGGCGGTAGCGGGTGCCTGGGTGTCGGTCTAGGCGTGACCTCGTCGTCCTTTGTCTTCTTGTACGAGGAGGTGACGATGATCGGCGATTCCGGGGAATAGGGCGAGCCTGGGCCGGAATATGTGGTGTCGGTGCAGTCCGACGAGATCGTCGACAGTGTTGGAGAGTTCTCCAGCAGCGCTGCCTCAACGTCCATGATGGCCTGTCTGCAAAAAACAGATCGCCAACCCCTGTTAATCATCGCGTCGCAGAGATCTCTTCCTGGATGATTGGACTAGCCGAGACGAATCGGGTAGAACAGAAACGAGTTTAATATTTCGCTGGTGTAATATTTTAAATTTGATGCTCGAGAGACGGGGATTGAGTATAGCAGTTTGGGGCAAGTGAATGGTTCTCTCATTGCGAGTGGCGATATTTCAGGTATTAGTAGAGTGTTCGGCTTGTAAATGGAGTGTGATTTAATTTTGGATTTGATTTTGTAGTATTGAAGATTACTAGAAATTGTAAAACTGTTTAGAAATATGAAATAGAAACATGAAACTGCTTGGAAATATTTGGTGCGTTGTTAAATGCAAAATTTTGTTTCCGAATTTCTTCTTTTTTTTTGAGAGAGAGAACTCGAGTTAAATAGTCCATATTATGACATAAATGCTGATTTATATCATAATATGGATATATTTATTTATTATATTATTATTATATTTATTTATTTTTATTTATTATACTATTATTATATTTATTTAGTTTTATTTATTATACTATTATTATATTTATTTAGTTTTATTTATTATATTATTATATTTATTTAGTTTTATTTATTATATTATTATATTTATTTATTTTTATTTATTATATTATTATATTTATTTATTTTTATTTATTATATTATTATTATATTTATTTATTTTTATTTTATCATATTTATTAAGTAGTTTTTTAAGTATTTAGGAATTTAACCAAATTTTTTTAAAATAGCCACGATTACCTTCGATTGAAAATTTTTATTATTTACGAAACGTTGGAATTATATATCGAGGTACGTTTATTATTTTTGACGATCAAAACGCGAAGTTGGCGATTATAAAATAAATACTGTACAATCACAAATCGTTTGAGAAATTGCTTAAAGACGAATTGAAGCGAAAGTTTTGAAATTCATAACAAAATCAGGGCACTTTGGGTTGCTGAATTTAATCAGCGTTATTTCATCTTATAGCAGGAACGCAATGTTCTTAATTTTAACGCGGTTGTTCGAGTTTAACTTTCGAGTCTAACTAAAACGAAATTACTTTATTGTCAAATTTCTAAAAACAGAGTTTCCTGACTTTCTTGACTTTCTGGGAATATCTGCATTCTCGAATATGGAGGGAATAGAATTTTTCTGACTGATGTTTTCAGGTCAGGGCGCGTTTATTCTAGGCTTCCTAACTTTTTAACATTGAACCTTCCACAGTGGATTCCCCTTTATTTTTAGCTTTCAGAAACAGGCGAGAGTCTTCAGGTTTTTAGCATCTAAAATTACAACCCCCATTCGTTACAATTCCTAGAGACATGAATCCTTATTTCTTTCATGTGAACAAAGTTTCATTTACAACTTTAGCCTCAGTCAATGCGATCTTTTTCGATCTGTCTCAATTGTTCAATTACATTTAGAAATTCAGTTCAACAACAATTGAAATTTTGAAATTTTCGTTGATACTTTTAAATTAACGAGAATTATCTTACACTTCGTCATTCTTGCTCAGAAAAAAAAAAAAAAGAAATTGAAAAACAAAGCTCGAAGCCGCAGAAAAATTGCAAGTGTCGATTCAGTAATTATTTGTAAAAAAAAAAAAAAAAATAATAATTCGAAAGATTTCGTTATTGAACAATGGAAGCCTAAAGACCGTCGAAGGTTCTCCGTAATTGAATTTCACACCCTCGTTTGCACCTTCCGGTTCAAGTTAAATTTCGAATCCAATTCGGAGGAGCAGGCGTCGAAAAATTCAGAAAGAAATTGAAAAATCACACTGGAGAGTGAGGCGCTGGTATAAAGGAGAAATGTCAGCACTTCACCGAGGCCGAAACGCCGCTCGATCATTGTCCAATTATCGCGATTAATCTCGCCACGGGCTCGACTGTTCCTAATTCATGAATCATCGTTCCCTTTTCAGACTCTTTCTCTCTCTTTCTCTCTCTTTAGTCTCTCTTTTCGTTTGCGATGCTCGCGATGAAAATCGAGGGGGAGAAAAAAAAAAAAAAAGAGGAAGAAAGAGGTCGAAAAGTAAAGTAATCGGTGTCTTCTCTGAGGAACGAGATAAGAGTGTGGAGGGATATTAAGAGAGATATTAATTGAACGAAGCTGGTTTCGAAACGATACGATTTAAAAAAAAAGACAAAAGGAAGGTCGAGGGAGGTGAAAGCCACGGAAGGGAATATATAATTAGCGTATAGCGTATAGTAGGTCAGGTACTAAATGGTTACAGGCGTACGTGGTTTCCTAAACTTGGTTTAAGCCGCAGTTTATTGCTCGCCAACTGCTAGGCATTAATTCGCGTGCGGTTTTAAGCGTAGCGTTCCCTGCCAGTCTGAAGACGTTCTCCAATTTTCTTATTGAAACGATCTTTGATAAACTCGCCGGCGCTGTTAACGCTAGAACTACCAAAATGGTCAAAATGGCCAATTTTAGAATTTTCGTTAGATATTTCTTAGATACTGTCACAACAGTCGAATGATTCTTCGTAAAATACATAAATAAAAGCTTCTGTATCCTTCTGTATTCTGTATTGTAAAGATTTTTTGTTTCTTTCACCTTAGTGTCCCTGATTATGGAAATTTTATGCTTCGGTCGCCGGTAGTTTTAGTGTTAAGCCTAATAGACATAACACTTTGTCCATTTCGTGAGTTTATACTTCTGTAAGTGCACAAGTGCAAGAATGTGTTGAATATTCAACGTCTATCTACGTATATGTATATATATACGTAAATATTTAGATTTTTATATAATATACATATATATATATATATATATATATATATATATATATATATATATATATATAATATAA